TGCTACCACAATTAAAATGCAAAGGTGAACTTGGAAAATGAAAAGAAATAGTTTTCCCCAATCCACCATTAGACAAGTGATTCCAGTCAAATTCACTGTATTAATACCATTTCTTCCTGTGATGGAAAAATGAAGAGGTGAAAAGACTATGCTTAAGGGCACACCCACACATGAGCCCAAAGCTCCTTCCTTTCTGTACAGATTCTTCTGTACAGTACACAAGAAATATGTCTATTTACAAATACCTGTAAATTTTTATCACTTGAAACCAAAGCTCTATTACTGAATTAATAAGCGTATAACCAAAGCATTGTGTACCATGGAAGGGGTTCCAAAGTAAATAAGCCTACATTCTTTAGCATCTTCTCTTTAGATTCTATTTCTATAAAGCTTTAAGAATAAGTTTCCAGTTCTTCAGCAACCCAACAGTGAATTTTCTGTAACAGGTACATTAGATACTTTCTAATGATGAAACAAGACATTCATCACCATTTCATAATTTCCTTATGCCCTCAGCTCTTTTAAGATTCAGCCACAGCCAATCTACTTCTTCCCCAATCTTTTAAAATTAGTATTTATCAAGTGTCCTTTTTGGAAACTTTTAACATGAGCTAAGATATGTTATATTCAATCCAGCATCACCCTCTTTTTGTGTGCATTCTGAAAGTACATTTCTCTGATACAAATTATATTGTTCATCATAATGTAGGATGTGAGGTAGTTTAGGATGTCTTATACACTTTTCTTCATAAAAAGGAATAAACTATGTTTCAATTATAAAATGACATCTTGAACATAGCCAAGGCACTGGGATAATCCATGGTTTATCAATTGCTACCCTAATACTTTGGCCACTGAACTATGATGACAGAAATCTAAGCATGATTTGTTTTTAAGTGCATAATCCATTAACTGTTTTCATATGCCATAACTATTCAATTGAGAATTTATAAACCAGTTTATTGTCCCTATCTGGCAAATATGACGCACCTGTCATAAAATGTGATTACTTAAAAAAGCTAACAATTGTGAAAAAAGATTTTCATAATAAATCAGTCTGACTAAATTAGACTTCATATTCTTCAGGAAACCCTTTAATCCCTATTAAGTTAATAGTTTGTGAATAATGAAAGTAATTAATATTAATTTTATTTAATAAATCCAATACCAATAACCTGTTATGACATGTTAATCCGTTTTCCAACAGCCTGTATAAAAATTAACCAACAGATGCTTCCAATCTGGCAAAAAAAATATACAGGCCATTAGCATTATTTTGATGATTCCAAATGTTCAATATATGAATATTGTGGTTAAATTTCAGAGAGATGTATAAACAAAGTTCTTTTACAACCTTGTTAGGTATTAACAGATAGGAAAGTATAGCATTCTCTTCTAAAAATCAAAACCATTATCCTACTCCTTGTTCTTATGTTTCAGCTAAGAAACTGACTGGGTTTTATGAAGACTGTAAAAGCAACATGAGCTTAGAGACTGTGTCTACAGCAGTCAGTCCAGGGTCTCCAATGCCAAGGAGAAGGCTATACATGCAAACTACAACAAATCTGTTGACCTGAATAGTAGTAGTCAAATAAAAAAGGTAAAAGAAGTAAAAGTGGGAGGAAAAAAAAGAAAAGAAAAAGGATAATCTGGGAAAATACCCATATATATTTCTAAGAAATTAAAATATGGAAAGTTAAGATATATTTCAAAAACTTAGAACAGAGAGAAGAAATCCAAAATGAGCTACTTAACAGCAAAATAAAGTATTTGGAAAAAAAAAAAAGACAGTGATATAAGCAAGTGCTCATTTCACCAAAAAAGGCTCAGAAAGTTCCTATAGTTTTTATATATATATAGTTTTATATATATAGCGTGTTTTTCTTCACACTAAAAACAAAAGCTCTCTGAGAGAGAGAGAGAGACACAGAGAAAGAGACAGAGAGAGAGAGAGAGTATGTGAGGTGGTGTGGGGGTGCAGCAAAAAGAGAGAAGTTTTGTAAAGGTCATGAGGAGTTAAGAGAAAAAAACATATTCTTACCAAAAATATCTTACTATATCTATCAGTGGAGGGACACAAGATGATATTGTGGGAAGTAAGAACTATTTAATAATCAGATCAAAAAAATAAGATCACAGCTGAGAAGTGATGAGGATTAAACAAAGTACATAAAGAAGACCAAGCTCTAGGAACTGGTATACCATAGGTGCTCAATTATTACTTTCTCCTCCTTGGCTAACTCTCAAGGTATTAGAGTTATAGGCCCCATCAACCTAAAGTAGTGTCTACTTAAGGAAAAAAAAAATGTTTATATGAACAGAAAATAAAGAATATGTGAGAAAATGTCAAGGTTCTCCTTGACTTGATTCAGTTCTCTTTATTCTTATATTTCAAATGCCTACCAAGTACACAGGATTGCCATCTACCATTTTTATATGCCTGAGATGGAACATCCATCTTTGTAATCAGAGAAAAAAAATAGACACACCCCATTTCTCTAAAAACTCACTACATTCTCAATAATCTGAATTCTTTTGTCCTTCCCTGCCTACGTGTGATATAAACCAGTGATTAAACTGACAGGAATTAATAACTTCTGTTCCCTCGCATTGCTAAGGAGTGGAGAGGCAACTGAATTTTCACCTTGGATTGAATAATATTTAAGTGGCCAGGTTTACTCCTGAATTCTTCAGAAGTTATAATATTTATTCAAAACTTTGGAATCATAAGGGACAGGTAAATGTTAAGATTTAAACCTGATAGGCAAATGTTAACATTCATGGTAGCCAGGGTATCAATACAGAGACAATACAAAGCAACTTGTTCTTTCCACAAGACCAGAGTCTTATCTAAGCTTTCTAAACATCTTTCTCTTTCCTTGCATTTTGATAGTTTCCATCAAATATTTATGCTCTCAAATGGGATTTCCAAAAACAGAAATGACGGGACTTTTCCAATAAAATACTTAACTACTAGTAATGCAAAAAAAGCACACATAAGACTCCTCATGTAATACTTTCTAGGAATTATTCATCAAAATAAAATTATTCCTCAAAAATAAAAAATAGTCACTTTAACAGCTCATCTCTGGTTAGTATCATGAAATGTTGGCAATGCTAGGGTCACAATCCTGAGTTTCTTCATCTTTTCTGTTCACCTTGAAAATACCATCCAGAGTCACAAATAAAGGGCAACTCATTTGAGCAGAGACAAAAGATATTGTAATCCTCTGTCATTTCTGAGAGAGAGTCAAATGAGAGAGAATAGGGTCAAGGGGCCAGGATGGACAAAGACACTGAAAGACCAGAATAAGATGGAAATAAAATAATCTAGAAATGACCACTTCTCTTCTTCATTTTTTTACCTAGTACTAGATCCTACGAATGCATCATTTTTTAAACCTTGAATTCCAAGCCTAAAGTTAGATGACTTAAGAATTTTTAAAAGTCCAATTATTGCATCTAGGGCTAACACTACAGCTAAATTAAAGGCATGCTAACAAGTTTCCCTTTTGAGCCTCATTAATTAAGAAAGTAATCAGAGTAAGGGGGGGGAGAAAGAGTATTTCGATAAGAAGCATCACTTAAATAGCTTTTAGGTATCACCATTTGCACCTACTAGCAAAGCAAAGGGAAAACTAATCAATTCTAGGTTATGAAAGCTGAAATTCTGAAGTGTTTTACATGTAAATACATATTTTAACTGGCACATATTTTCCTTGATTGCCTGAAGAGTGTGCTAATCTTATTCAAAGAAAAATTTGATTCTCCATAATCAAAAGGTAAAATTAAGAACTGCTTACTTCACAAGTTTTCCCATGGTAAGCTTGTAGGAAAATTCTCCCTATTTTTAAAGACTGAATATATAATTTTAAATACTTTATTCAAGACAAGTCCTGATCAGAAATATCTGGTAAAGGCTTTTGATTTACCACAAATTCTAGAAAGCTACTTTGTTTTATAATTACCTGTTACAAAGAGTTTCTAATTTACAATTATCTTTTAGAAAGCATTTCCAAGGAATACAAATGAATGTTTAAAGTATCTGCCAATATTCTTTTGTTGCTCTGGTGATGAAAAGCACATCAAAAACATGTAGCATCTTAGTGTGATGCCTAGTGAACAGTAGGCATTTTAAGAAGTCAATTCCTCCCTCTACACCAAGGCCAACCACCTGCAACCACCTAGTACCATGTCTCCCTACTAGGGTGGCATAACACTGTAGTGAAAATGGTTGTTTTTCAAAAATAAAAAGGTAATAATTAGTCTAAGTGCCTTATGCTACAGACCTAACGTATAAATTTTGCATGATACTTAAATATTCACTTAACAATATATTGATATCAGTCTCTACATGTAAGTGGCAAGCCCATGACATTGGATGAAATAAACTTAATTTGTAGACAAAAACACAACATACTTTTTAATCACACTGTACAGGTTAAAGCTGTCTGAAAATAATTTGGAAAATGAAGGCTATTGCTTTTAATGAAATGACCATATAATATAATCAAATACGTTACTTTCAATTCAGCTTTGAAGATATGTAAATTTTATATCCCATGTGACTCACACCAATTTAATTATGTGTCCATCACTGTAACCCTTAAGGATGGCAAAATTCTGACTAAAAGAAGGCTCATATTTTGTTTTTCTATTTCCATGACTAAAGGTAATTCTCATGCCAAAAATCTCTTAAAATATTCTTCTTTAAAAAAAAAAATCTCTAATTTACCCCAATGGAACATCTTCAAAAAAAAAAACTATAGGAAATTAAAGAATCAAACCCTTTATTTAAACATTTGCATTTTTATAATTGCTCTTTTGATATACTGAGTTTAAAAATTGCTATTTAAACTTTTCATTAGCTCATTTATGTACCATTAGCAATGTAAAAAAATACCAGGTACAGGATCTTAACGTTTGTTAGAGACTGTTATATAAAAAGTGGCAATGTTAAAATTCTCAAAATAAATTAATAACCAAAATGTTAAACTTACCTTTGTGTTGGCAACAAAATGTTTTCTCAAGTTTACAAAGCAAATCCGTATTTTCATACTTATTTTCATTTACTTTTATCCAGAAACAGTTTTCAGACATTTCCTGAGGTCTGATCTGCAATCAGAGAGAAGACTGATGCATAAACAGCTGGGTACCTCACCTGCCCCAGCCCAATCACCACACAAGACCCAGCATCTCATAGCTGCCAGCAAATGTTCATCACGTAAGCTCTAAGATTTTCCCCCAAAGTCTGTTCAATGAAAGACAAATTTTGCAGGATATTAAGCTCTTATAAGAAAGAAAAAGTTCCCATGATCCAATACTTCAGGGTTTGAAGCTGAATGAAAGAAATTTTAATTTGTTTCATATCAATTGTATTTCTCAGATTCATTATTAATGCTTATTTACACTATGAGTCTTACAGAAAGGACACACGATACTGCACTTCCCAAGTTGGTGTGACCATGAAACTATCTTTCTACAGGATTCAGAATTCCAGGGACCTAAGTAACTGACAACTAAGAATACATTTCCTAAAAGCTACCAATGAGAAAAGTTCTTAAGCAATAATTTTTGTACTTTGGAGAAAAACTTCACAAGTGAATAGTACCATCACAATAATACTGAATTGTCAACGTAATTACAAATCAAATCCCATGGAAACATCACTTATCACCAAATATATAGAGCATAAAGCCTCAAGCAAGTCAAAAGTGCTTTATTCTAACACTTCTATTTTATACACACACACACACACACACACACGCACACACAACCATTTGATTGTCACTTTGAGGGGAGTTCCACTGAAGATTACATATTAGTAAATGTAGATATTAAAATTATATTTTACTCTAAGTAGAAGTATATTTTCCACTGTTTTTGTGTTTTACCTTTAACCAATTCAATCGTCTCATGTTGATTTCAGGTTTAAATTCTTTCTTTGGTTTTAATCCAAATGGCAGGGTTGGTGGAGGAGGAGAGTTTCGTCCACCAAGAAATCCCAGAGGAGGTGGTGGAGGCACAGGACCTCCAAATGGCATGGGCATTCCAGGAAGAGGAGGAGGCGGTGGAGGCGGTGGAGGAGGTGGCATAACTCCACAAGACGACAGTGGAGGAGTGGGAGGAAGTGTTGGGTGTCCAGTCTGGTCTTCTTTGGATATTGGCAAGGGAATTTTGATACCAGCTGGCAAGGCACTAAACTAGAGGTGAAAATAGTAAAGACACTATTAAGAAAATGTCTACAAACATGCAAAAGTACATTTTACTCAAAAATAAAGCATTACATTAGACCAAAAATAACTGTACCAATAATTTTGCATGGTTTAACCTAAAAACAGAATTCTAAAAAATTTTTTCTTCTACTTTAAGAAGATAATTATAGCTTTTATTCTCAAAAAATGTAATTGCCAAAACTATAAATTCCCCATTTTGAGGCAGTTATGGTTATAAAAGTAGAGAGATACCCACAAGCAAAATTGGTATATGGATCTAGAAGATTTGAAAATCAGCTTTTTTCTGTTAATAGTTGAAGTCATAGAAGGAGATAAGTTCACTCAGGCTATGAAAAGAAAAGGCTCACGGAAAAGGACGCACTGGTACCTGCCTATAATTTCAGCACTCAAAAGGCCAACCTTGGCTACATAGTTTGAGGCCAGCTTGGCAACATAGCAAGACCCTATCTCAAAAAAAAAGACTGGTATACGGAACTCAATGGAACACATACATTTAAGTATAAGTGAAAAATAATAATAATAATAAGATCCAATTTTTTTTAAATGCAATTTATACAAGGTGCCTTTGCTCAAATCTTGTCGATGTCCTTATACACTATAGAAAAAAATTCTAAAACTTTTAGTAAGGACTAGAAAGTCATGTTCTGGTCCAGTCCAACTGGACTTTGAAATCACTTTCTTTTAATTTCATGTATGTGACGATCTCATAATGACTTCAGGTCCTGCTCCCTCTGCCTAAAACAGTGCCCAATCTACCACCTTTCACTAGCCTTTCCAGTCAAAGCTACCATGTTCCTTGCTCAAGAAAGCTTGACCTGCATAGTAATCTTATATTCATTGGCCACTATACTTCTCACTAATTCTCCTCAAAGGTGTGAAATAATTATTTAGAGAATGATTAACAATTACTCTTTGATAGATTAAATACTTGGTAAGGAAAGAGACTATATTATATTATTCACTGCTATTTGTCCTGCATTAAAAACAGCGTAGTAAAGTGGGTCAAGTGGTAGAGTGCCTGCCCAGCAAGCTTGGGGCGCTAAGTTTAAACTCCAGTGCCACCAAAATAAAACAGGGACTGGCATGTGATAGTCATTGAAGAAATAAATACATGAAATCTAGACAGGAAGAGAAAGAGTTAAGCACAGGGGCATAAGCCACAAATGAAAAAAAAGTCCCTTTTTTTTTCAAAACAGACTACTGCAGAATCAAAGGCCACAAACAAGGTAAAAACAGAAATGGGAGAGAAAAAAAAAAAAAACAGATACATCCACTGGTTGTGTTTGTCCTTATATTTCCATAGTACTATAAGACTATATTAGATGGATTGTGATTATCATGCAAAAGACCTGAGTCAATCTTTGTAGTATGATTAATTTCTTTAAATTGTTAAATTCAATTAATTATATTTATAGTACTTATATATTATATTTATATCATTAGGTAATTTAACATAATTATGAATAAATTACTGACTTCAAAAAATCCATTATTCAATTATATACAATTATATATTTCAATATGTATCACAATATTAAAAAAGTGAGGCCACAAATTAAATTGTATACCTTGTCAAAAACATTAAGTGTAAAGAAGAAAAAGTTTAGTTTTACCCTTGGTTACTGTGATCAAGAATAGGATTTCCCTTTGAATGTTAAGGATATAAATTACACTAACATCTTGATGCAAAGATATGGTTGAATTTCTTTCCAGAATAGTTCATTTGATGAAGTATGACTGACTTGAATAGATATAGTTCAGAAGGCCAGACAATAAAACTGTAACTATATTGTTCGTACTATATCCCCAACACCCTTCAGTGCTTGGTTAAGTGACTAAAGGAAAAAGGAAGGAAATCACAGGTAATGGAATATGTTTAATTCATCGTCTTCATAATGAGCATAGCTTTAATTAAAGAAGGATCTTGAGATAAATGTAAAGAGTTCATGAAAAATACAAATAAAATCCAAAGAAAGAATTTGCCACTTGTTCTTCAAAAATGAACATGGTAATTACATTTTTAAAATCAGTCTTTCCTCTAATAGTCATAAACACAGATCATCATTTTTGCAAAATTTAAAACAATTTTAGGAGAGTCCTTGATTTCCGTTTCAAATACATTCTATTTTACAACAAAAGCACCATGCAGCAATAACTTATCCAAAGATTGTGGATATATATTTTTATCAACTGGAATTTTTTAGAGTGGATTTGGGAGAAATCATTCAACTGGGAAAAATTAAAAAGGAAAAAAGTTCTTTAATTTATATTACCCAGAACAGGAAAATTTCAAAGTAAATATTTCAGTCGTTGTCTAAGTCAATCTGAAGCAGAAAACACAAACATTTCTTTTAATGTGAGAGATAAGGAGCCAGGTTAGGAAGATGAAAGATTCACAAAATGTGTTTCTTCCTTCTTGCTACACTAAAGAAAGATCAATGAAAATAATTTTCTTGGATACAGGAGGTTTTAATTTTTTAATAAAATTGAACACTAACAGATGGCAATCTCATAAGGTGTATTTAGGCAATCTTTGTAAGAAAACTATCCATTAAGTATTAAAAAGAAAATTTTCAAACAATATACCTGAGGACTATTTGCATGTAACCATGAATTGAGATGGTAAAAATGGCAAGCCTGTACTTATTGCTCCTCATCCTGTGTATAAATCTACATGAAGAAATTTAGCAATGAATGTTCTGCCTCCTTACATCTGTATAAAGCATGCAGATGATGTATTTCTTGCTTTATGTGTATAGCTCGTAGGTGAGCTGTCTGCTCATAATCCAGATTTGCTCTGTTTTTTGTCATGTTTTAAATCTGTTTACTTTTGGAAATTGAAAAATTATCAGAAAATGTTCTCATTCGGCTAGAGGTTATCTTTCACTGCAAGGCACCCATAGGCTGAAGGTCTGCAAAAATAAATAGTTTGAGCAATAATTTCCGAGTGTAGGATAAAGATCAGTGATGAATGACAAATCTAAGAGCAAAAGACTTTCTTAACCTTTTGGCTTAATTACTTAGGAAGCATGTGACATTAGAAACAAAATCCCCAATGAAACAGAAGGAAGCAGGGTCAATTAGTAAAAGCTTAGAGATTCCTAAAAATACTAGAAGAAAAGAAGTGACAAAGTTTTTAAAAATAAATAAATAAACATAGCAGTACAGAAATACATGTGGATAATAATACAAAAACATACAAGGGAAATTAAAGTTTAAACAGCTCTATGCTATGAAGATATAACATGACCTTTGCTCTCAGTGAGTTTCAATACCAAATTCACTCAGGATGGTATTTTACCTGAGACTTAAAAGCTTGTAACTCTGCTTGAAGCTCATTAATCTCTGCCTCTTTTTTCTGCAATTGAGCCTGAGTTTCTTGGTGGTCAGTCAACTCCTTTTCAAACTGAAAAGAGGAAGAAAAAAAAAAAGAGAGAGAACAATGGAAATGAAAAAGCCTAATTCTTCATATAAAAATACAACTCTAATGATCTGTCAATAGAACATACATCTCTGAATTGGTCTTATAAAAGGAATGGTAGATTTTTGAAAAGTCACTCACAGTTTTTATTTAGATCTAACCAGGTCCTTCCCCCAAATCACTCATTCGCAAGGGAGAAGACAAAGCCAGAGATGGAGTCTGTGACCTTCTTCTCCCAGCAAAGCAAACTGGGCCATTGTTATCAAGGACCTTGGCATTTTTCTTAAAAGTCCCTAAATATCATTGTGATTTTCTGTAAAATAATAGCAAGCAAAGCATTGAATTCCTTGCTGCCCTCTACCTGTAAAAATATATACTTAAAGTTTATCTATAGTTTATCAACATGATTTTTAAAAGATTCTATTTTAATATCAATTGCCTACTTTTTTCCTTATATTTCCTACTATCTGAAAGATAAATGATAAACTAGTCTTTCAAAGCTCCTAGTACATTATCTTCTGAGAGGAAGGCAAACAATAAAATTTGGCAAATCCAATGAGTTTCTTAATTTACATAGCCACTCATCACAAGTTCCTATCTTGCATTCAAATAGTTTTACTTTTCATCAGGACTGAAATACACTCCCAAGAAAAGTGAACTAAACAGGGTATGGTCTTATAATCAAGAACATGTGTCTCTTTTTGAAAGAGAAAAGAAAAATCAAATAATAAAAAAATTCAAATGCTTCAAAAATATACTCAGCAGATTTTTAATATAGCCAAACATCAACTAGGATAAGAGCAATATTGAACTCAACAGTTTACAAAACTGTTTATTTTATAAATAAAACTCAACAGTTTATTTAGCTTACAAAGGGAACCTAATTTTGCTCTTGACATAGAGAAGTTACTAGTCTGCAGCTAGTAAAATCTGTGAGATTAAATATACATTCTGCCTTTGAATCCTGAGTTGCTCAGATGAAACCAAACCACTTCCATATAATTAATGTGTAGATAATGCTTCAGATCTTTTAATAAAACATTCTTGGAGCAGTTTTAGGTTCACAGCAAAACTGGGCTAAAGGTAGAGATTCTGTACATCCCCCAGACCCCATCTGTATAGTCTCCCCCATTCTTTAGTTGTTTACATTTTATAACCAAAATTCTGTGAAATAAGAAATATTTTAATTGCCATTTTACAAGTGAGAAAGGTAAATTACAGGCTGCTAATCCCCATTCCCATCCTGTGTTCCTTTATTGGGATAACAGAAACCAATAGGTAAAAACTCTTCACATGTCCTTCACCTCACCCAAACTTACACAAGCACTAATTACCACTCCACTACCATGGCTCTTCCAAATCCCATCTACCATTTAATAACAATGACAAAAGACACTAATCTTAAACCTAATAATGTAACTAATCTACAAGCCAAACCCTACTGAGGCCTCAAAGGTGGACCCAACTTTTCTTTTTTAGTGTGTGTATTGATTGTACAAAATATTGGTTTTCACTGTAACATTCTCATATATGCATGTAATGTACTTTAATCCTTTTCACCTCCCATTTACCCTCAGTTATAGCATCCTCTTTTCCCTGGGGGTCCCCTTCCTCTTCCTGATATTGTCTTCTACTTTTCTTCTCTTTTTTGTTTTCTCCATAGGCTCCACATATGAGAGAACACATGTGATGCTTGTGCTTCTGTGTCTGACTTACGTAACAAGTGCTTTGACAAGCACCAACTAAATCAATGTCTTTGGCCCCTGAGCTACATCATTTTCAGCCCCTCTGTACTGTAGCCCTTCATCTTAACTTTTATAACCCTCTAACATAATCTTACTTTTTGCTTCAAACTCAAATTTTTCAGAGTGTTCTTAGCCCATACTCACTATTCTAACCTCTTGAACTTCATTCATTTCAATTATCCACTACAACTTAGCAATCAATCTTTCACTCTAAAAAACCCATGATTTACTAAAGTCCAAATCCCCTGGACTCAAAACCTCATGTTAGTTGATCTCTCCATAGCTATACTATTTAATATCATAAGTTGGTGTCCACAGTGATTATGTAAATTGAAATCAATAAAAATTAAATAAAGTTAAATATTCAGGTCCTCGATCACAGTAACCATTTTAAAGTACATAAGAGATACACATGATGCCAAAGACCACATTAGACAACATAGATTGTGAAACATTTCCATTTCCCACAGTAGAGAGACTTGCTCTACAACATAAACAATTACAAGTATGTCTCCATATTCAACCTCTCTCAGCATATTCCATTACAACACAGAATTCTCGCTCTTCTGCTACTCCTTGACAGCTCCTACCAATTGTTATTCTGGGTTATATATTCCTCAAAACTCAAAGCTTACTGTCAGCAGACTGCAGGACTCTTCTCTCATCCCTCTGTATCATTCCACATTTCTCATAAGATGGTATCTTCAATACCTCTGTATTTTAATCATCATTCATAGACTGCTGGTTTCCAAATCCCTATGATTAGATCAATTTTTCTAATCCCAGACTATTGATCAATCCAGAAATGCATTTTCAATTGCTCAATGCATTAAAAAAAAAGACATTTTCAAAACCAAATTTATCTTTGTTCCTACCAATCATTTTTTTTGAATACTGCTATTTTCTGTAAAGTATAGTTCAAGTAATCTGACTTCTTTATGTTTAAATTCTCAGTAGTTTGATTGTATCATTAAGTTAATATCTAAGAACACTCTGGGATCTGACTCCAACCAATCTATTTCCCATTATACTACACCTAACAATGTGCCTAAAACCTGTCCCTCAGAGGGCAAGGAACTGGAAACAGACACTCGAACATAGCACAATCAAAGCATTTAGTAAACAGTGCCTGGTAGTGAAGTAAAAAGCCAGTGTTGGAGGAAGGATGCTTAACATCAGGTCTGAATAACTTAAGGAATGAGCAGAACAGCACAGCCAGCACGTCAAGCAGAAGGAAGAGCTCAGCACACTGTTGAATGAAAAGCATTCCTTGGTGAGGGGCACCAAAGCAGGTATGAAAACAGGCTGCAGGGATAAAACTAGAGATGGTCACAAGGACACTAGTGAAAGGAATTTTGCAATAAACCAAAGAGTTACTCCTTCTTCCTAAAAACCATGGAGACCAATGTGAATATGAATACTATGAAATTAACATAATCAACTTTACATCTTGTAAAACCCAACCAGCAGAAGTATGGAAGATGGACTCAAAGAGAAATATGAGAGGCATAGAAATTAGTTTGGAAGCCACTACAATTATCCAAGAAATAATTGAGGTAGAGGAGAGGGTAACAGAAAGGAAATGACACTGCAGAATCTAAGAGTGTGTATCAGACTGAAAGAAGGAAATAAGTGAGTGGAAGGTATCTAAGATGACCATAGTGATTTGTGTATTTTCAGACTGGAAACAAAAAAGGATATAAAATGTAGGGAGGAAAAAAAAATATTTTTAGGGAGAAGAAAGATAAATTTAGATTTTGGGTATGTATTAGTTTTACAACATTATAACAAAATAGATGATACAGGCTAGTTATTTAAAGTACTTACTCTATTTAAAATGCTTACTTGTTTAGCTCATAGATTTTGAAGGTTCAAAGTGCATTTAGCATAGCACAGGCTCTATGGCAAAAGCTGCCCTTTGGCTGCATCACCTCACAACACAGGCAGCAATGGGAGAAATATGTGCAAGAACAAGCAAATGACTACCCGGAGAACCCAAGGTATGGAGGATGAAAGGACGAAGTTTGCTCCTTTTATCTCAACCTGCTCTCTCAGGAGGACTCAAGGGGAGGAACATGGATGGAACAGAAAACAACCTCATGCTGCCACTCACTTAAGGATCCTACGAGGCCCCACTCCTTAGTGAGTCCACCATCTTCCAATAGTGGAATCCTAGGAACCATGTCTTTATCACATGGGCCTATGGTAGAACACAATTAGACCATATCCAACCACAGCAAATTAAGCTTGAGCTAGTTATAGGAAATTCAAAAGAAATTTAAATACACCCCTCCTTGAATATCTCAACGTGTTACTACACACTGATCCTTCAAGAACCCACACATATTATCACCTCCTTGGGTAAATCTACCTTGGCCACCCAGGACTAGATGAGGAATCTTTTCTACAGACTTTCATGCCACACATGGCTTTTCTACCACATTACTTATCAAACCATAACAAAAAAATATGAAGATGTACCATCATACACATCAATGACACCAACTTGAATGCTCATAAAAGTGAGAACCTTTTCTATTTTTATTCATCTCCTTTCCAAAGCCTTATATTTATAATTAAACTCAATAAATATTTTTGAAGGAAGTGATGAGCTAACTCTTGTCAAATCTTGCTTTATATGCTGAATGATTATGTCAATATTTTATACTAAGTTTTTCTAGTGTCAAAAAATCTTTGAGAAATCATTTTTTCTTTTCCTTCCTTTCCAATGAAAAAAGGTCACTACTACACTGCAGCAACAACAACAACAAAAAGAAAGCTGCTCTTATGATAGTAACAATGAGGGGTTTGAAAACATCGATATGTGCACTATCCTATCTCTACACTAAAATTCAGAAGGAAAAGGGATTAGGGGATCAGGAAAAAAAACAAAATAATTAAAATCATAATTAGTATACTCCATGAAAATTTATTCACTTAACTTGGCCATACCAAAAGTATATTTCATACCAAAGACATAATTTTCTAAATCCTCTTCTATAAAAGGATGAAATATAAACTTTGCTTTAGCATTTTTGTAATAGCTATAGTCAAATCACTGAAGCCTTGGGGATAAAATGAGTCTCCATTAAAAACATACCTTATAAAAATTGATACGATAGCCCTCTTTTCTAAAAACAGTTGCTAGAGCAATATTACACTTATAAAATTACACTCAAAAATGTCAAGAAAAACAGTTAAGGTTGAGGTTCTACTTAATTTCATTCCCTAAGGTAAATGTATTAGTGCCTCTGTAGAAGAAAGTTGATAATTCAATATTCTCTATACACTTCCTGACATTTTTGGTATTCATTTTTCAAATTTATGCACCTAAATAAAGAATGTGTCTAGCAACAGATAGCTTCCTGCCTACAGCAATGTATTTACATGTGTCCTTATAAAGCTATCAGAACACTTTTTGCTGATATATACAAAATAGTATGGCAATAGAAATTTTTGTGGAGCAAACAAGATTTTCCAAATATATATAAGATAATTTTTGGATAAAAAAGAAAAAATAAAAGTTAACCTTGAACAAGGTCTTCTTATATTTACAATTCAAGTTTGTGTTTTAAGACAAATCTATTGAGAAAGCTACATTTAACTCCATTCATATACAGTATATACCTAAAAATGATAACAAGAGGAATTCATACTATTTGAGATATATCCAGACCTATTACTTGAAAGTTTACTAGTACATTCCTGTCAAGAGTGAAAGTGCTTACTGAGCTTAAAATACAAAGTTGGCTGGGGGAAGGGTCACCCTACAACAGGAACATCTATCAACTGTTAACACTTTTGATGCTTAATTTAAATGATCCATTAATTTGTTTCCCCGTACTAAACTAAGTCACTTTAGGGTAATGTCAGCATCATATTCACAGCTGTAACCAAACCTGCAGCAAAAGGCCTGGTCCATGACCTCTCAGAAAGTTTTGGTGAATTCAACCCCTTAGGACTTCTCAGATAGGACATTTACAATGTTTTTCAGAAGTTACTCTTAATTTATGAAAGGGCACCTTTCATTTCCCAATTCCGTCTGATCTTTCAAGTTTATAGAACAGAATTCTCAGAAGTTATGTTTAGGACCTGCTGTGTCAAGTATGCACACTCCTCGGGAAAGTGTCTTACACAAACGAATCTCACTTAGCAAACATTCACTGTGGGTTGTTTATGGAGACAGTACTAGTAATTATGTTATTCAACCAATGTGAGACACCACCTCCAAGAATTCAATTCAGAATGACCACTTCAAGTGTCAAGAATCCAACCAAGAAAAATCTAATAGGTACGTGCTAAGCCAGAGATAAAAGTTCAAAACAATACTTTAAAGAAAAGTGAGAAATAGCTGGATACACAGAAATAGTACCAGCTTGAAACAAATGAAGCTGATAATATCTGAGCGGTTTTGACTTATGAAAGTAGAAATGTTCTACAGTTCAACTTAGTGTGATGAAACAACTTTAATCAAAACAAAAACAAGTTAATCTTTCTCAAAATTTTAAACATGATTTTGGTCCTAAGAGTCTAAATTATGATTTCTTGAGAATTACTAATTTTACATTTTTGACTGCATGTGTATTTATTCAACTATCATTCACTCTTTCAAAAAATATCTTTTCATTCTTATAAAGAGCCAGGAATTATTCTTAGTGTAAAAACAGTGAAAAAAGCAAACAAAAATCCTAAACATTTACTCTAAATGAAGGAATAGCGAACACATTTATATACACATTTATAAATACATGAACTATCAACATTGTCAGAGGACAATGGATATAATAAAAGAAAAATCAGGGAAGAAAAACAGGAAGAGTAAAGGTTAGGAGAGTGGATCATAGACTTGTAAAGAGCTCAGTGGTCTAGGAAGTCCTCCTGGGAGAACAACAGCTGTGCACATACTTCATGGGTAAAGAAGACAGAGTAAAGAACAAGCAAATTCCCTGCAGCAGAACCCTGCATATAGTGGGTCTTCACAGAGTCTTGCAAAGTTAGTCAAAGTTACTTACTTTCTTGTTAAGTTCTGATGCTTTTTCTTCAGCTTCTTCTAGTTTTGCTTGATCTATGCAAATATCTAAAATTGCAATGATAAGAAGTTGTCAATTGCAGTCCTGCTTAAATTCATTATGACTTAAGTTTATAAGAACAAAAACCATAGAAAATTAGAAATACCATCAGTGATGAAATAAACAAAATAGAGAAAAAAATAATTATAATGAACACTCCTTAAGGCATGACACCAAAAATAAGAATACATATAGGATAAGACTAACCCAAATAAAATTTTAAGCTTCTATCAGGCTAGAGTAGTATTCAGTTATAACCTGTAACATTTAGGATTTCTATGGTCAATCCATAACTATTTTGAAACATGAGATCAGGATGTATCACACAAGCTAGTAAAACAGGTGGCAGTAATAAACAGAAAATTATGGAAAAATGGCTAAAATGTTTGCTTTCCCCTAATACAAAGACATACAAATTTTAATGAGAAATTAGAGCAAAGATTAAATGAGACATGATTTCCAACATTGAGACTGACATAGGGAAACAAACACATAATAAGGTATGGATAAACTAGGAACTTTGCTGGTGAAAACCAAGTAATAGGTACTAGAGTTTTAAATACATTCTTTTTCATCCAGCAATTCTATTTTCTAGGACTCTGACTTTGAACAAGAATACTCATTAAAATATTTTTTACATTAGCAAAAATAACTGGAAATAACTGAATTGCCCACCAATAATGGATTAAATTAGTTATGATGCATAACCACATGATGGAATAATACATAGGGAAGATAATTCATTGAATTTATCACAATATAGTTTATCCTTTTCTTTGTTAATGAAACAAATACATTAATGTGCTTTAAAAAAAATTACAGAGAAGCTGGTAATCAAAAGAATGGCCAAACCACTGCATCCAAACATCAGTCCCACTTCCTAAATGCAATGATTAATGAAAAATATGATTCATGAAATGAAAAACATTGTGAGGCAGAATGGCAATCAAATGATGACATTAAAAATACAATGGGAGCCTGGTTGCAGGGATGCACACCTGTCACTAGCTACTGAGATTGAGAGGATCATGATTCCAGGCCAGCCTTAGAAAATAGTTCATGAGACCCCCATCTCCAAAATAACCAGAACAAAATGAACTGGAGGTGTGGCTAAAGAGTAGAGGACCTGGTTAGGAAATGTGAAGCCCTGAGTCCCACCAATCAATCAATCAATAAATGCTACTTGGCTAGCAGTAGTGTGCTTTATTGCCTAACATGCACAAGGCCCTGGGTTTGCTCCCCAGCACCAAAAAAAAAAAAAAGAGAGAGAGAGAGAAATCAATTTGAAGAAAAATTGAGGTAATTTTTTTTGGTGGGGCTGGGGATGGAACTGGGGTTTCAATACAGGGCATCATGCTTGGTAGTCATGTGTTCAGCACTTGTGCCACAATCCCAGCTCTTTTTTTTTTTTTTCTTTTTCCTTTATTTTTTATTATTGTTGCACTGGGAGCACATGGTGATATTTATGAAAGGTCTTTTTTTTATTGTTGTGATAGGTGGAGGGTACATTGTACCATATACAATGACCCTTACAATGTGTCAAATATATCATACTTGAATGCACCCCTCCACTGCTCTCCTTCATCCCCCCTCTCAATTCCTAGAACAGTTTAACAGGTATCATTTTTTATATATATGTGGATACATTATGTGCACCACATGCATCCTCCTACTCCTTTCTCTGCCACGGCCCCCTCCCTCTAGTGCCAACCCCACCAATCCTGAGCAAAACCTGTCCTGCCCTCCTGTTCTCTGATTTTGTAGAAGAAAAAATATAAAAGGTAAAAAGAGAAACATGACATTTTTAGGGTTTTACATTTTTGCCTGGGCCAGCATGGACCATGATCTTGCTATTTATACCTCCCACATAGCTGGGATAATAGACATGCACCACCACGAGCAGCTTTAGGTTGAGACGGGGTTCTTGATAACTTTTTTACCCAGGCTGGTCTGAACAATGATCCTACCTGATCTCTGTTTCCTAAGCAGCTGAGATTATAAGCATGAGCCATTGTGCCCAGCATAGAATAATTTTCTCCAACAAAGGATGTTCTATAAGATAAACATACAATTGATTTGACTAAGCTTTCATATCCTGAACTTGCTAGTGGTAATGAAATTAAGTTATTTCCCCAAATAAACTCTCATCTAGCTGCTACAAACCTATGCCCCAATCTAAACCAGAGATTTGTTCACTTAGTGAATTGTTACTTATTTGAATGCCCATTTGATAAATGTCTATCTTCCTAAACTAGACAGCAGTTTGGTTGCCTTTGAACACTCAGAGCCTAGTTCAGTACCTGGTAAAGAGGAGGGCTGAATAATATGTATTGACTGACCAAAAGACTGTTCATTTGGTTTAGGTAAAAAAGCATTTGTGCACCTGGACATCTTGGTCAAAACTAACATTTATTTTCATCTGAGAAGGCAAAGGTGGATTGAGTAAGGGAACTGAAGATCTTAAATTAATCTCCTAAGCACTCAACATATATTCTTTTAACCCCTTTTATAAGAAAAAGGAACCAAACACAAAAACTAGAAGCACCTCATATCTCTTTCTAGATTTAATTATTCTGTTGGTTAGCTTAATTAAAATAAACATGCATACTGTTATTTCTTAATTTATCTCTTTAAGACGTTACAGGCAATTTCTTATTATAAAAGGTGAAGACAGTATCCCCTATCTGATCCCAATTTTATTTTACCATTTATTAACTTACTAAGACATTTATCTCCTTCTGCCCAACCTCTGTCTTTTCTCACCTATTATATAAACACAATAGCATTCTCTTCTGTATTTAAGTCTCCAAGTCCATTCTAAATATTTATAAGCACAATTATTTTATTAAAACTATCTACATGTGCTTCATTTATCCAAGCACTGTTCATAGATATATTCTTCTCAAGGGTTTCCCCAGAGCTACTCAAGAAAAGCCATTCCTAATGTTCAGATGGAATACTCAAAACCACTCCCCAGTTTAGTTGACTTCATTTTAAGAGCATGTTTTTTTCTCAGTTTCTGTGTCACCTTCACACTTCAGGAACTTGTAATTATTTATCTTCTCAGAAAACAAGCATTTTTTCATCAATGTCACCAGTACTATCCAGTTCTTTACTCATTCCATACATGTTCCATTTCTCTGGGATTCAGAAGAAAAACTGTCTTGCACAGATATGAAGTTACAAAAGGCAAGTGTGTGTGTTAGTATACTTTTCAAATCATTACACATTCTCTTCTCTGATGTTACACCAAAGTTTGACAAATGGCATTTCTTAAATAGTCCTAATGTGGAATCACATGTATCAGTGAACTTTTTGTGCTCATTTACTTTAAAATCCCTGATCCAAGCTGCATTTTTATCTTTTGCTTATGCTGAAGTGCTATCACTGGCACCAGACAATGGTCATTTGGAAAACAGTTTTGCTGAGTCCTGACCTTCTTCCACATGTTGGCACATCACTTTCTACAGTAGATCATACAGGTTAATCTCCTCTTTCCTTAGGGGGAAAAAAAAATTTTTTTTTTTTTTTTGAGAAACTGTCAAGCTGACAGCAATAGATCTAAGTTTTCACAATTCAAATTTCCACTTAAAAGGGGTTTTCTCATTGGCAACAAATTCTGTCGATCATTTTCTATAACATACAGGCTCACTTCATTTGATTTTAAGAAAATATGTGCTAAACACATATGTTAAAGTAGCCAGTTTTTGTAACAGTCTTTCAAAATCAGAAAGGGAAAAAAAAACAGTTTTGCTCACGATTCAAACAATTATATAAGGTCGTTATTTTTAATTGTACTTTGGTATACAGAAGCGTTTTATGCATGTATTCTATTGGTTAACATAGAATATTAAAAGATGCACTCAAGAATCAATATTCAATAAAATTAATATTGTTAGGACTTTGAATTCTTAACTAAAAATTGGCAGTCTTTGCTGATTTGCTCTACTAAGAGTAAATGCGACTGCTGCTACTACATTGACTTACAACAAGGTGCCAACAGTTTTACAAATCACTGTTTTGAACCATGTACAAGATATCAACACAATGAAATAGGCAAACTCTGACTATTGGGATTCCCTAAAAAAAAATCAAGGACCCACAGGAGGTCCAACAGCCAAACCATGAAAATCAGTACCCACAAGATAAAAGAAAATATACTTCTATTTAATTAATAGAGAAATACTTACCTACAAATTGACTTAAATCTAAATCTAGTCTCTTTCGATATGTAAAGTCTGGGTCCATCCCATCTCTATGCAGTACAATCTGGGATACACACTCGTCAATTAATTTGAAGTACTGTTCTCTAAAATCAGAGAAAGGAAAAAATGTATACTAAGTTCATTAGTATATCATGACATGAAAACAATACACATTTTATGTAAGGGTGATTTCAAGTTCAACAATATTTTTATTAACATGATTTCAACAGGAGGATATAACAACATAGGAGAGTAAACACAATTTCTAGTCATTTTCTTTCTAATGATTCCAAGATTTTTTTAAATAATTTTTTAGAAAATACACTATGCTTTAAAGATGATTTCCTTATGAAAGTCAAATGTTTACTTAATTCATCAGCATTTATAAAGATATTGGAATGTACTTAAGATCAGTCCTCAGAGATCAACCTTACACTATGACATTGTGAAATAGCTACCATTAATTCATTTTAGTAATGCAACTCAAAAGTTCTAAAAGCTTTTCTAAAGAGTTCTAAAACCATATAGTACATTGGTTGCAGAATGTTCATGGAATTGAATTAAAACAGGAAACTCTAAATTATATTTAATGCCAAATTAATAATTCTTCTTCAAAAGAAAATTAGAAAAAAATTAGTATAATAGCAATGTCCAAAATTCAAAATTAAACTAAAACTCACAAACAGGGTTTTTATTGTCACTACAGCAAAATTCAGTCAATGTGCATTTCTAAAAAACTTAAAACAATCCCCTAAGACTCAAGCAAACAAATATGAAAGATACACAAAAAAGATTTTACAAACAAAACCACACCAAAGTGATGTAGTTCTTTTCCAATGAGGTACGGTACTCCATCCTCAATTACTTATTGGATTTCTGTCTTTCCTATTACTTTTATACTACATTTTCCAGCTCCAAATCCTCCCTATCATGTAAGAGATGGGCCCCTCAGGACTCTGGAGTTTCCTTCATTAACAACTATGACCTACTGTCCTTCACCTATTTACCTAATACCTAAAAAAAACCACTGAAATCATGCTAAAATAAAATCTACTGCAGCAGAACATTAGCAAAGACAAAGAACATTCATTAATTTTCAGAGTAAAAATATCCAAGAAGTAGTTCTTGCATATAAAACAAAGAAGCTTTTATCATATATGTCAGCCTTAATTTTAACATCTTTCAAAGACATTATTACGTACTTACGTGCATATGCTTCACAAACATTTCACAGCTGAAATTTTAGATACTTTGTTCCTTTCTTAGTCTTAATGTTATTCCAATGTTTTTCAAATATTTTACTTTAATAATACAAACCATTTTGTACTTTTTAAAAAAATAATGACTGTAAATTTTTCTCAACCCCAATAAGCCCAGTTAAGCATTCACTTGCCATGCAGCTGAAATTTTATATAAAAACTCTCTCAAAAAAAAAAAATAGCAAACAATGTATTTCTGGATTCCAGAAATGTACATCTAGAAAATAGTATCTATGACCAATATCAGTGTGTTAGTCAATTTGTCAGAGAAATAATAAACTTAATAAAGAGATAAACATAAATTGCTATTATTTCATGGATAAAATGCCATTTTATTGAACCATATTGTTAAATTATATTCATTTTTTCTGTACTACTTTTAACAAACATCAGAAATGATCTCCTATGAAAATTCAACCACCATGGCATTTTGTACCTGGTAAGGCACTAGTTATTTAGCGCATTACTGAATTTGATCTCCTCCTTTCAATTATCTTGCTGCAATCCCCTTCCCTCACTCCACCCTGCCCCCTTTTTTTTGAGGAATCAGGGCTGCCTCTGATGTAACTTCTCCAAGTGGAGCAAAATGTTCATTGTCCCAAAGGTGAAAATCAAAAGGATTCTAATCTGCCATTTTTTTAAAATGAGAACATTTTGCAAACTAACAAGATAAAGCTAATCCATTATATATAAAACATAGAAAAGTATATTTTTTTGTATCAAAAGTAGATTAAAATAGTATTAAGTGTGGCAAGGTGATCCAAGCTATAAATGTAACACTTGGGAGGCTGATAACAAGACCTACCTTGAAAAAAAAAAAGTGGTATTAAAAAATGCTTAGGTCATCTAAGTTTTATCAAAAGGTAAAATCCAGGTCCATTTGCAATAGATTAATCCAAGAAATAAAGGTAAAACCCAAAGAACAACACTCAGACTGTATGTCAATAAAAGTTCATTTTTACTGTATGTAATTAAAAAGATAAATAAATAAAAGTTTAAAAATGAATGATAAAAATTTCTAAGTGGTCATAATTCTGACACACTCATAATAAAAGTATAATCTTTTTAAGAATAAATAACAATGAAGATGGAAGTTTGGGAGTGTGGGAAAAAAAGAGATGGAGTTGTCTTGAACTTGTAATTGCTGTTTCCCATTAAAATGACAGGATCAACTGAGCATGCCACACAACGGTGTATGTTGTGCTTTTTGATCTTACAAAACTAATAGTGACATCATTTTACCATCATCTAATTAAATGTATGCCCAGAGGAAACAGCATATGCTGTAAATCAATATTGTAACAGAAATAAAATTTTTTCCTTATCCAAATAAAGTATCAGGTGAATTTTACAATAGATTTACTTATTGGAGAAACAAAATTGGAATATAATTTCTACCTACCTAATAAAATAATCATTTCTAATCAGCAAAAGATGCTGAAGAACAGAAATAAAATATCCCTCTGCTCTAGTTTCCTTAACTGTATTCCACACCGTGTTGTAAACATCAGATGCTTCAGTAAGTTTATTAAGGAACATATGAATTTATTTATACTCTACACCAAACAGTTGTAATGATATGAACAGAATCCAATCTGTAAGTCTTTGATAAACTAACATCCCAGGTATCTAAGACAAGTGTCTAGGATTGAGGCTAGGCAAAAACTCTGGAGATGGCAATTTGACCTGACACTTTCTGGCTTCCCCTTTTACTATCAATTCCAATCAACCAACATGTTGTTTGGGGCAAAGGAAGTAGGCAACTGGTTGTGAAGACCATATTGAGTTCTAAGGGTACCTCACCAAGAGAGCAGGAGCAAACATTATGTATCATGGAGAAGCCCTAGTTGAGGAGAGTAATCTGGTGAATCTCAGAAAAGGGCCAGGGCTTGCAGAGTTAACAGGGGGGCTACACATGTAGGTGACCAATGCAAGGGGAGGGGACAGCCACCAGATTGAGACTACCCAATTCCCAATGCTTGGAAACATTAGGTTGGAAAGGAAGGGCCAAACATAAAAATAACAGATTGTATAAAAATATAAGATGAAGGTTGCATGGAGATATAGCTGAGTGGAACAGTACTTACATACCATGCATGAGAACCTGGGTTCAACCGAAAGCACTGCCCCCCACACCAATAAAAAGTTGGCCTAATAAAATCCATTCGTTAAATGGTAACATCCATTTGCATATGTATACATTCACAAAAATACCCAATAAACTAATAAAATCACATAGTAATTTTGCATATTTTTTGACTAGACCCAAAAACAAAAGGATATTCAAATTCAGCTCGAATATCTTCAAGGCGATGAGAGAACTCAATGAAATCTTCTTCCTTATGCTCATCAAAGACTTTAAGCTGGATATCCAGGCCATCATTCTTAATATGCTTTAAAATCTAAAGATATTAAACAGGAAATTATACTAAAGGATTTTGTTTTTAATTATGCAAAAAAATTAATAAAATGTAAACAATCAACCATTCAACTTCATTTATAGCATTCAAACATTTAATGTGCTAAATAATACTCAAATATCATCTATAGTTCAAAAATAGATTTTTATACTCAAGCCTTTCTCACAGATAAATTATTCTTAAGGGTAATTTATCTAAATTTCCCCCTCTCAAGTACTCTTCTAATTTAAATATTAATAAGGAGACTGCAGGGCACTTACTGGCAATATCTCTTTCAATCCACAACGCATAAATTCATTTCTGATATGAAGCCTGAAGTCCAAATCATCAGGAGATGTAACAAGGGCATTTATGAGCTGCATGCAAGCTACCTACAACAAATGACACAGTGAGGCTCAGACTAGGTATGCAACATAAAACAAAAAGTAACAAAATGGAAGAAATTAAGGGTTTGTTCCAAGTGTTATTCTATAACTTCTCTCACAGAATATCATTAAAAAAATAATTTATAAATAAAATATTTTAATCAACTATATATGATAGAATAAATATAATTTCCATGAAGTTTTTGTTTCTCATTCATTTGGAGTTGAGGTGATGGGGAAATGCAGAAAACTTAGCCACTGATTAGTTTCAATAAAAGTTCACTCATAAGTAAAAGTTAATGTGCTGTCCAATAATAATGTTCGACACTCATACAATAGAAACTGAACATATCCTAGATGAAAACTATAAGCATCTGTTGATTGGACAGATAATAGCTAAAATAGGATAATAAAATAATTTTTCCTTCACCAAAAGAAACTCAAGTTCCCAAAGACCTCAAGGTCAACAGGGTCCTGAATCTAGTTAATAAGACTGTTATAACCAAACACTATTTAATGCATTTCTTATAATTAAATTCTGGAAGTTAATTTTCCAGTTCCCATACTTTTGCAAAAATTAAAAGTTTGGTATGTCATGTTTATTAGCACAAAATAAATTATATACCTCACTAAAATCCTTAAATACTTTTTAAATTGCAAACTTTCCAGTTCAGGTATAACACTACAATGTTCAGCTTCTCAAATTTTTACCTCTTGCTGAAATATATTTTCCATCATTCAAAATCCATATAGAAGAAGGAAAAGAGATTCTCTCTAGAGAAGCAAAGCACTCTTTGTTGTTGTTGATAATGTTATTTTTCTATGTTTACATTCTACCCGAAGTCTAGCAAGAACTACTGGACAACTGATCAATATGTTTAACCTCATGCTGTTCCCAAAATTGTCTTTTCTCCACCCCTTAAGGCAAGGTTTAGATGAATTTTAAATGCCTTTTCTGGATTAAGACACCAACAGGGGTCTCAGTTCCTGCTGGTTGAAATATATAGCAATTGTTATATTTGATATCTAAGCTCTAAAATCTGACTAGCATGCCTCTACTGTCAAAACTTAGGATCATTTAAAGTAGGGGTGGGAAAAGGAAAACATACTTTAAAAAAAGAAAGAGAAAAAAAAAACTTAAAACCACCTAACATTTCTGGTACATATTCACTCAGCTGTAACCAGTTCATGTCAAAAACTCAAGCTTAAAATGTTTTCCTTTCACTCCCTTGCCATTCATTACTCAGTACCCACAAACATTTTGTTCAGCAATACCATATAATTTTCAAGATCTCAGAGAATGCACACATGCATGAGAATACACGTTTCTCTACATTTGGAGAAACTAAATCAGTCTCAGTCACGCAGGTTTCAGAAAAATGCAAACTTAGGTATCTCAAAGTAAGGAGTAAAAATAAGCAATGTAGAAATTAGTAGAAAATATCACCTAAATTGAAAAAAGAAATTATAAACAACACTAAGATGAAATTGAAGAGAAGAGAGGGATAATCCAAATTATTTCCAGGAAATATTCTACAGAAGAAAAAGCAAGAAATTAAACTGAAAGAATGAATTTAAGTTAAACCTATAGAATCTTTTCCCAACTTTAATGGCAATTTGCCATTACCATGGCCTATAACCACTCTTCAATTGATTTTTATCATGCAAACATGTGTGTGATTATATACAATTATGTACAAAATAGATTTTTTCTTACAAAATAAAAAAATTCTATAACCAAGGTAAAAACCAACAACTCCATCAAGACATATAAATTTCTGTTATCACATATATGGAGACACATTGAACTGTGAATCACATGATTTCACACTAATTTTCCATAGCAGAAGTAGGTATTGTGTTCCAGAAGAAAAGGGTAGAAGGGATTCTTATATGAGAAAAAGGTATCTTTAACAAAATTAACATACAGCTGGAGAGGTAGGTGAGTAGGTGTCCATTCCAGAATTTAGTATAGTTGATGATTTCCTCAAGGGCAGAAGCAGTACAAGGACTGACCAGCAAAGTGAGCAGCCCAAAAGGTGATTGCAAGACACCTAAGAAACTAGATGGCATTTGTTGCCCTCAACGCAGAGAAACTAAAGCAGATACTTTGGGGCAACTGAAGCCAATAGGGGACGAGGACCAGGAACTAGAGAAAAGGTTAGTTCAAGAAGAATTAACTTGGAAGGTAACACACTTGCACAGGAAATCAATACAAGTTAACTCCTTGTACAACTATCCTTATCTCAACTGGCAAAAACCCTTGGTCCTTCCTATTACTGCTTATACTCTCTCTTCAACAAAATTAGAGATAAGGGTAAAAGAGTTTCTGCCAGATAGCGAGGGGGTGGGGGGGGAGAGGGAGGGGGCAGGGGGGATAAGGGAGAGGGTAGGGGAAGGGGGGAGAAATGACCCAAACATTGTATGCACATATGAATAAAATAAAAATTAAAAAAAATAAAATAAAGCTGAAAATGGAAAAACAAAAAAAGTTGGCAAATGTCAGCAGTATCTTAAGCAATAAGCAGAAATCTCAAAGATATTCAATATGAGAGATAGAGCCAGTAAAAACAATCTTAGAAACAAAGCCTATAATCAAAGGAAAATCATTAAGAAGCAGAAAGAGGTTAACAGAAGGACAGAGGAATGTGTCACTATCTACATCAGCTCAAGAAAGTAGTTTCTTGGTCTTGAAAATAGATGAGAAAATTTCTTCATATATGAATACATATCACCTAAATTCACACTAGTACACAATTTACTCCTATCTATTACTCTGCTCAGCACAAATATGAGGAAAATAAAAACCTTGTGCACTTTTAACATTTGGCTTCTGACCCTTTTAGAACAAAAAAAGCTTAAGTAAAAAATTCAAAATACACTAACACCTGTGATGCCAAAACCCATCCAAAGGCCTGCCCCAAGTTTTCAAAGGCTACCAGAGCACACGCTATCTACATGAATGAGCTTAAGGAATTTACAAAACAGTCTAATGCAAAAGCAAGTATTCTTTACAAAGAGCACTCTTGGGTGAACTTCCTTTTCCTGAATATAAGTAGATGTTTTCACAAGTAAAATGATGGCTCTACTATATTGTAAAAACATATCCAACTTTGGGAGCTAAATCCAGATTAGAGACAAGTACCAGTAAAATACTTAAATAAAAATTCTATCAGAATCTGCAAATAATTATTATCTGACCTGGAAGATACAGTTTAGACTGCTATTCATCTTCTCTACTCCATAGCAGAAATCATCTATCTCTCTTTGCACAATCAAATTTCACATTTATCAAGTTAAGATCAGTCAACAATGCGCACATGCGCACAGAGAAATATTTGGCCTACAGTACAAATAAACTCTAAAGATTTTTAAATTCTATATGCATATATTGATTCAGAATAGAAAGTCTAAACAGACTACATAATGTAGACACAGAAACAGTAAAATGTATCAGATGTAAAATTCTATAATTTTACTTATACTTCCAGTTGAATGCTCTATAAATGATAGATGTGGTAAGAGAACAAGTCAGAGCTGAAAACGACATATGCCCAAATATAGACTCAAAGAAATGAATTACAGTACTCAAGAGGCTATAATTCACATCAACAGGCATAGTGAAGACAAACTTAGATTTTTAGAAATATTTATTCAGACACTCCTCCTGAGACATCATTAATTTCTTCAATATCCTCTCATGCATTCTGTTGAAACTGCTAGTAATGCAATTTTTATATCAAACATTAGTTACCGTTAAAAAATGGAATATAAGCTACTTAAGGGCAGGAGTGTTGTTCATTCATCTTTGTAGTTCCAGTATCTGGCCCAGCCCAGTACCCAAGTCAATGAATAATTAATTGCTTCATTGTTAAGACTTGGAAGTCACTCTTTGAAACATTAGTTATCTTTCTAGTGGTTGCAATAATGCCATTCACAAAGACATGCATTGTGGAGACTTAAAAAACTGGCAATAAATTCTAGATAATGTTAACCACTAGCTTATTCTTACATGTGCTGCTCCATATGCAAATATGAGTTCATATTAGGGTATTATTTTACTGTTTTTAATGTCTGTTAGCATAATGTTATATTACTTACTGATCCATTTTAATGTTTGATTCTTAGATGATTTATATCTATATATTAACCATATGGAAGCAAACCTCAATAAAAGCAGTCATCAAAACAGAGGAATTGAGATGAATTGATCCCTGCCCCTTTATGAAATGCTCCAACAATAGCCCTAAAAATAAATACTCTACTAATATTCTATATTCTTCATTTGTAGTTCATTAAATGTGAGAACAATTTGTTTGAAATGAAAAATACCATTAGTACACAGTGATTGGGGGAGGGTAAAAGAAATAGGAGCTCAAGATATGACCACTCATTACAGGAAGACCTTTACTTGGTCTTGAACAAAATAAACCTTTGCTGAATTTGGGGCAGGTAAGCAGCAAAGAGAAGAAAATCAACAAAAGCACATAAACTTGGTTGAATCCAGAAACACATTTGATCTGATTTGTTTCAATAATTTGCCTAATTATTGGCCAGAAACAAATTTCAAGGTATAATGATTATAACTCAAGGAAGACTTTTTTTGAAATATTAAAATATTTTAATAAACCAAGCTATTTATGTAATGGGGGAAGTACTAAATTTTTAATTTAAAAAATCTTTTTTTCTGTTTTGTGAAACATAGAAAAATGAGACCCAACCAAATTTTAAAAACTATTTCTTGTGACCAAACTGAATGAAATCTAGAAGATAGATTTTGTTTTGTTTTGTTTTATTTTTTTAAAGTAAAGGTTTGTCTTCGCAACAGTCATAAAAGTGCAACTCTCACTCTTTGACCACAGGGAGCAACAGCCCCAAGTGCTTCTTTCTGGGACCCACCACAGCATTTGAGCTGAAGCCTCACTTCTCACAGGCTGCCCTCAGTTAAAGACTGAATGAACACAGCAAATGAGCAAAAAAAAGGCCATTTTCAGGACCCAGGGGAA